AAAAAAAAAAAAAAAAAAAGCCCCTACTCACCAGCTCCTTCCAGGCAGGGGGTGATCCCCGCTGCCCCCTACTGCCCCTCACTGGGGATGGGGGGCTCTGTCACAAGCCCCCATCACCCGCACACTCTGTGTTTATCAAATCCCCCTTCAGGCTTCTCTTCTTCAGGCTAAGTAGTCCTAGTTCTTCCAGCTTTTTCTGTTATGCTTCCTTTTGTTTGATCACACATGGAGGATCAGGCAGAGATGGCTACATACACAATATGTTTTGTAACTTAATCACAGCTCTACCATGGTGCTTCAGCCAGATTCTTCCATCGTTCAGTTTTGCTGCACTTGGTACTGTAAATGAAAGTGCAGTGCTTTCAGGTGTTTTACAGTGGCTAGTTCAGGGCCACTTACTGAGTTTTGGCAAGCCATCGAGGGCCGCATGACAGGCAACCAGGAGCAGATAAATATTAATTATCTAAATGTTTTAGGGGTCCCACTGGCCACATTTTGCCCACCCCTGGGCCAGTTCCACCTCTGCAGGGAGTTACAGTTGTATGGGTACTTACCATGACTCTTTCCTGGTTTTCAGTAGTTTGAGTTCAAAATACCTTAACTTTTCATTTCCTAGTTATCAGAAGTTTGAGTTTTGCTGAAAGTCTCATTCTGGAAAGACATGAGATATTTTTACAAGGAGAGCTTAACTTTGTGTTAGCAGCTTTTTATGTGGTCGTTCTAATATATAACATGTCTTTGATAGGGCTTTGCAAGAGTATCAGGTGCACAATTCATATTCAAACTGTTTGATTTTATAACAGCCTGAAAATTTGCTTTTTCAGAGGTTTTAAGAACCTCTATAGCATAGAGTTCTTACTGAATTCACCTAACGTTTGAAGTCATGAAAAGGAGGATCTGCTCAGAGACCGACTGCAGCTGTAGAATTATGCTCTAAAATTGAAGCATTTTTATTGCTTTTTTGCCTAATGAAGAGAGCAATAGCTTATGTCTCTAATGGTGGGTCATTAGTAAGAGACATTGCAGTACTATGGAGTTTGTTCAGTGATGTTGATTTAAAGAGCAGAAAAATAAGTATGAACATCTATAATAAGCTGTAGTTGGATGTCTAAGCTGTCACAGAAATTGTCATTTTCCCAGTATTTTAAAATAAGTATAAGCTAAAGTATTTTCTTGATTTATTCTATCAATTTCTTTAAAAATAATTAGAAATATGAACCAGTTACTGAAGTAGAAAGTTCAATTATGTTTTTCTCTACTAGTCACAGGTTAGTTTTAAAGCTGCCAAGGAAAGCCTTTAGAGTCTTGAAGCTGCCATGCTCATCTCCACGTACAGAAAGGCTTCAAAATATTGTTGCCCTATTAAAAATCTCAAGATTGAGTATTACACAAAAGCTTGCAATGTGGGAGGTATTTGAAAGTACAGTTAATAATAGTTTATTAAATACAATGTGAAGTTTCAGATAAAAAAGTTGTGCAAATCCAAATTGAAACTAATGATTTCATTATTCCTTTTTTTGGTTGAGCCAGTTCTGATTGTTTGCTAATTTTGTGTTAGGAGGTGTTTTACAGACAAATAAAGAAACTGTTTCTCTCATGAAAAGTTTGTAGGCCGAGTGAGTGAAGGCTGATGTCTGGTATATATTTTGTTGTTTGTGAATGCTAGCCAGAGGGGTGGACTAACATTCAGGTACTGAGGAAAAAGTGTACTTTTAGGACGAACTTGGATTTGAGATTGGAGAGAAACCAAGGCAAGGAGAAGTTTCACGGAAGATAGCCTGGTATCAGGGAACCCTGAATTATGAGACTGAATGGAGAACATTCTTTCAGACCTTTTTCCCTAACTGTTTTCTTTCTGTCTTTCAATTACAGGCCTTTTCCCTGATGTGGGTGGAGGGTATTTCTTGCCAAGACTTTCAGGGAAGATTGGCTATTACCTTGCTCTTACAGGATTTAGATTAAAAGGAAGAGATGTGCAAAAAGCAGGAATTGCTACACACTTTGTAGAATCAGAAAAGGTAAATATGTCACCCATTACCATTGATAACTGGTCAGAGTGCTTAACCCACAATGAAGACAATTGGATGGTCTTGATTAAGTTTTGGTATGTGCATTTCTTGATGGTTCTACTGAACGAATTCATTCATAGTTTCATAGTGATATTCAGTTATTTTTAACAAATGGACAGTTTTCTTCTTGTTCAGTCCTAGGGTTTACCCATTTATTTCTTTAAGTAGAAGCAAAAAGACACTGGTGAGTCTAGTTCATACTGGACTGCTGGTGCTTCCAGAATGTCATTATGGCACCTGCCAGCTGGTGGCATCCTTGCCTTGGTCTATTTTGACACTTGTGCTGTTGATAAAAGACAGCATTGGGCAAAGGTGAGGGCATTAGGACAAAAATGTTATAACCTATCTATCTCCATCCTTATTAATTCTCTGCCATTGACAGTGAACATTTTGTAAGGAGGCTTAGACTATAACATTTGAAAAATGTAGTTCTGTCCACATAGCCATAATATAAATAGTAGGGCTATGTGAAGATGTTATTTACCTAGATTTTAAAAAGGCCTTTGACACAGTGCCACACCCAATTCTTATAAATAAACTGAACAGTTGCAGTGTAGATTATTACACAGTTCGGTGGGTGGAAAATTGGCTTATGGGACGCACTCAGAGAGTGGTGGTGGATGGGTTGCTTTCTACCTGGAGAAATATGGGCAGTGGAGTCCCCCAAGGCTCTGTCCTGGGACCAGTACTGTGCAATATCTTCATTAGTGACTTGGACAAGGGAGTAGAAAGCACCCTGTCCAAGTTGGCAGATGACACCAAACTATGGGGGGAGGTACACAAACTAGAGGGCAGGGAGTGAATCCAGGTGGATTTGGACAGGCTGGGGAAGTGGGCAGAACAGAATAGGATGCAGTTTAACAAAGATAAGTGTCATGTGTTGCACCTAGGGAGGAAGAATCATCAACACTCCTATAGCCTGGGAGGTACCATTCTAAGTAGCTCAACTCTAGAAAGGGATCTCAGAGTCATAGTCGATTCCAAAATGAACTTGAGTCACCAATGTGATGAAGTAATAAGTAAAGCTAACTGCACTCTTTCTTGCAGAAGTAGGTGCATCACAGGTTTAGGGAGGTGATACTACCACTCTGTGCACCATTGGTCAGGCTGCAGCTGGAGTACTGAGTCCAGTTTTGGGCGTTGCACAGGGTTCAGAGGAGGGCCACCTGTCTGTTTAAAGGCCTACAGAAAAAAACCTGACAAGGACCAATTGAGGGACCTGAACCTCTTCAGCCTCTGCAAGAGAAGGCT